TTTTATATACATATATATATTAATTATTTATGGAATGTTCCTATCTAAGCTAATGGTATTTATATGCTGCCGTGCACTAGTGAAAGATGGCAAGATGAGCTTGAGATCAGGCAATTAGGGTAATTGTGGAGAATTCTCCAGGAATTAACCATTTTGGTTTCCAGAGGACACATTACTTATATTGCAATGGGGTGACCCCATTGCTATGTAAGTAATGTGTCGTCCTATTGCCCATACTAACGATAGCTTACCTCTTTTTGTGTCTATTCATATTATGGTTCTTTTTCTAGACTTGAATGCAGAAATCAAATAACCATAAAATGAGAATTTGACAATATTTTTTCTTTATCTTGCTATATGAACTTCAACTATTCATGTTGCAACTAATACAAATTGTGTCAGTATTGTGTATTTTTAAATATAATTCTGTGAAATATACATGTTATGTTAGCGACAAATATAATTGAAAACATATGCAGTACCGTATAATGTAAGAGACTTGTAACTCAATAAAGTGGTGGAAAACAAAGCGTAAAGGGAAGTGGGGCAAATATACGACATAAAACACGAGGACGCTATAACAAGAGTCAACACTCGTATGTATTGAGTGAGACTGGTGTAATATAGAGAACGAAAGTAGGCCCCACCGAGTTGTTCTAAAATGAACTTTAAATGTTTTTATGAATATGTGAGTTTTTATTGAAGTTATAAATTTTACATACATATATATACAGGTGAAGCAAGCGTATGTATTTGCTATACCTATTAATTCCATTGAAAATCCGGATAATGTGATATTGTTTTTTTTTTATATTTACTACTAGTTTTGCCTACTGCCTACGAAATTTCGTACGCGTGTACATTTGTAGACGCAACCCATTGCTGACAATCAATTGACCACAGTTTAGTTCAACATGTATCTATATTTTATTTTAATAAAATAATAGTAGATGACATTAAATATATTAGTTTTTATGTATTACGCCACGTATTTTGATTAATTTATTAGTAAAATAAATAGATAACGCTGTTTTATCTATTGTTGCCTTTTAATTTATGATTACATCCTATTTACTAGTAAATAAATAAATCAATACCTTTGGAAATTGTATGTCAATATTCATAACACAATCTGTACAGTCTATTCTTGTGCTGGTTTCAAACTAATTTTGTTACAATCAACAACTGTTTACTGTGCAACAAGATCTTAAATTATTCATTATACTGAAACATTTCGAGTTTAGTAAATTTTTATTGGTAATACAAACGCAACAATGTCTCAGACTCGTCGAGTTAATTCCGAATGCTTGCAAACATCGTAAATGAATCCTCATTCCACTGTAGCCGCTCTAAATGGGTATTGTATCCGTGATAATGAAGGTCGTTACGTATCTACTTATTGCTTGAAAATTATCGAATGTTAATTTTCAAGTAATCGACTTAAATTTATAGGATACTTATGGTTGTTGTGTTTTAGAGTACTGACTTATTAAACAAGGCACCGCTGACGCTAGCACTGGCTACTCAATCAAATGATAAATGAACGGATTTGTGACTTCTGTGTCGTGTGACGTGTGTGTGAATTCACAAAAATGTATTGTATTTTATATGCTAATCTTATTATATCCCCATATATATATCCCATCCTCGTCGCCAATTAATATGTATTAATTAAAACGTCCGTCTTATTATCAAAATGTAAAAACAATAGAATAACTTTTGTTTGGAAATAAAAACAATACATTTTTAAAATAAAAAGAGGTTTATATGCACATCACTTTAACTTATGCTTATAAAGATAGTTGTACAAATAAATAAATGTATTTTGTGTAAGTTATATCACGTGATGTTAACATATCAAGACGAAAAGATAATTCTTTTGCAATCTTATATTAGTTTGATTTTTAACAGGATACTATTTAATTATTAAACTACAAATGTTGTTTACAAATGTTACTAATGTACAGTTGCTGAGACAAGATTTGGGACACCAAATCACGCAGAATCATTAAATAGCACGAAGTTAGGTAGTTCTAGATAAAAGCATGTGAATATATATGTAATAGCTCTTATATACCCATATAATATCTTCGAGACCGTGTGTTTTATGTTAAATTTATTGCGTATTCCAAATAAAATATGTTTATAGTCGTTGTGCTAGCACCTGGTGGGTGGTATAAAATCTTGTTTAGAGATTCCCTGGCGTACTTGTATTATTAAATCTATAGGTATTTTACTACTGAATAGATGAAGAATATCTAAGGAAAAAATATCAATCTCCGTTACATAGATTATTTTGGTTTACAACCATTTTTATACTGATATAAAAATAGTAAATAGTCTACGCAAATACTCAATCAATAAGTCTGGATGCCTTCGTAATTCATAGTAATGTATATCAGTAGCAACCTCTCCCTGTTATATTTTTTACTTATCTAGTAATCAAAAATACTGATACTAACAAATAAAACAGAATTTTTCTTTATTAATGTAATTAATCGGGTTTTAATACCAATAATTTTATGGTAAGAAAAAAATACTTCTGCACTACATTGCAGTAGCCGTGGTCAGGAGCTGACTAGAGTACATACAGATGTATGATATACTAACAGATAAATCTTATATATAAAATTCTCGTGTCACAGTTTTCGTTCCCATACCCCCGAAACGGCTTGACCGATTCTCATGAAATTTTGTGAGCGTATTGAGTAGGTCTGAGAATCGGCCAACATCTATTTTTCATCCCCCTAAATGTTAGGTGTAGTCCAACCCAAATTTTTTTTTTTATTTTTTAGACAAAATTTTTAGTTTCTATTTTTTTATGATACAACATACAAAAATACATACAATCCTAAATTTTCACCCTTCTATCATCAACCCCCTATTTTTTATAGCGTTATTAATTTATGTGGCAAAACAACGTTTGCCGGGACAGCTAGTATTTTATATAAGTGTAGGTGCCATAAGTTACTTTAACTACTGTCAATATGTTGTCCAATTAAAGAGCGCCTCATAGCAGTCACGGTATGCGTGCACTTATTTACTGATGATGATTACTGAACTTTGTTTAAACTTATTTATCACTAGGAAAGTGGATTATAATATAATAGTCAGTCTATTCTATACTATTTCTAGTATCAAGATTTAGAAAATACTTTAATCTTCGAGTCGATCACGTAAATAATTTCTTATGGATTATTATCTTACCAATTATTTGCAGTATTAAGAAATTACTAAATCAAGTCAATAGAATATACTACAACAGGAACCAGTAGTGCGGATATATTTATTATAATATCATGTATATTATAATAAATATATCCGCACTACTATATATATAAGTACTATATATATAATATACTATAAGTCAAATTCTAACTACAAAGGGATAAGAAAATAGAATTAGTACAGTACATACATCAAAAACATTACCGAACAATAATTATGTACATTACAAAGTTAATAACTAGATTATACACTTAGAGAAAACAGGCACTATTATACGAATATACAAATACAACACATTAAATACACGAGTTCTGTGTAGTTTATGTACAACAATGTTCATAAAAAAATATACAAAATAAAATTTCTTTGCCTACGATATATGGCAAAACATACGACGATCAACCTTATGGAAAGTGGTATCACTAATTTAAACATATGAGCAGCTACACGGCCGTTGCAAAATGTACTTTAATACCAGTAATTAATTCCCATTTCTTTCCTCTTTTGCCAAGTAAACAGTTATGCTTTCGTGTCTGCATTCGTAATTTTACTGCAATATTTCCTCCTTTAATTAGGAATATAACTTAGCTTGGAAAATGATGTGTTTTGTGATAGATATACTCGTAGGCGAATCCGAGCTACACAGGCAGTTGACTTCTTACAAAATGAGTTATAATGTATAATGTTGTAAAAAATATTTATTGGAATAGTTGATCAATAATAGACAATAATTATTAATTATTTTTATACATTTCTAATAGAGTTCCATAGAGGTTAAAACATAACAAATCACGATGGAAAATATTTTGAAGACTATTTTGCACTCACAGAACTCATGTATCTATTTTTTCCAAACCACTTAGACACTGAAAAGAAAGTAATACAAGACATTGTGGAAAACATGTAAGAAATCCTTTCAATTCAAATTCAAAGTCATGGGTCTTATAATAGTAATAATAAGTACGTTAAATCTTAATAATATTATAAACACGAAAGTTTGTATGTATGCATCATTGTTTACTCTTTCATGCAAAAACTACTGAACGAATTTTGATGGAACCTTACAGTAATATAGCTTATGCATCAGAATAACACATAGTTAGTTGGCATAGTTAGTAATTAAAATAAATCTTTGTTTTACTTATACGACCCACAAATTTGATATGGTGTTCTCAAAGGTTTAAAGTGATAGGTGCAAGTGCATAGGAATAGACAAGTAAAAGAAAGACTTTCTGTAACGTGCACATTTGGCTTTGCGACTATCGCGATTTTTATATTTAAAATCGAAACTTCGAAAATATGTATTTTTTTTCGAATTACATGTTATGTTACCGAAGTCCATTTCATTATTTAATGGACTTGTATTATCTTTAAAACTATGATATTTACTTTAAATTACTTTATATATTACGAAAATATTTAAATAAAATTAATTGTGTAGTTCGTTATTTTTATAATGTTATTAATGTTATAATTTTTTTGTGTATTTCAAATGTTCTTTATTTTAATCACTTTTCAATTTTAGTGAAGATAATTTAATCTAAGGAATTTTATTTTAATTTATCTATTAAAATAAAATTTTGTATAGTAAGATTTTAATAGTGGCATTAAATTTATTAAACTATAATTAGGTACGTATTGATCTTAAGAATATTGAACATCGTTTATGATTATGACTGAATTTGTTGATTTTGTGTTGATAGAATTGTAATTTGTAATACAATTTTAAAAAATCGATTTATCGAGATAGTCGCCTTTTCAGCCGTGCTTACTGGGGGATGTGCCGTTGCGGGGCGCGGGGGGCGGCGGCGGGCGGGGTGCCTCCTCCCGCGGAGCGCCCGCGCCGCCCGGCGGACTCGCCACTGGAACACCAACCATCAGCTTATTATATATACCTACCGACAATATAGAAAACAATGCTTTATAGTCTGAAAGTGAAAGCAGATTGAGAGAAAACGACCGATAGTTAAACGGCCAACACACGATAGAAAAATCAGGGGAAATATCAAAACAGTGGTGGTGAATGAAATCAAATTTTGTTTCATTTTGAATACAATTGAAAATCCTTTATTCATTTAAACTTCATTTATGCACTTTTTAATAGTCGTAGTTATTCTTCTTGTAATCTACCGCTCATTCGGAAAGCTGTTTCATCACAAGAAGAATGCGCAAAACATGTGTGTTTATCTTTTGAAAAAATCTCTAGAAAGGTGGAAGGATCTAAGAATCGATCCAGAGCGGTCTTCACCACTATTACTATATTTACTCCTGAATTTAATGCGGTGTATAGTCTGTCTTACATTAGTAACATTATGGGTAACATCTGAGTACCAACCTCACGGTAAATAGGTACGTAACACCTGATGGCCTACTCTACCAACGCACCTGCGTAATGTGATAGAGTTAGTGTTCATTGATCAAATTAAATAGGTCGAGCTTTCCCTTTCAGTTACAGTCTTCCATCCTTTTTCACGAAATTACTCTAACGGAAAGCAGATGTTACACATCGAAATAGAAAAAATAAGTGTTTAAGTATAAGAAGAAACTTCATAAGTTACAGAGAGACCAATTGAGAGTTCTTAAAAAGTAACCGGCATGGGTACTTCAGACTATTTCAGATACCCAGCAGCTTGTTTGGTAATATATTGTTTCAGTTGCAGGATACAGATTATACAGAGGTAGAGAAATTGAAGGTGTATTAGTGAATGTCATATGATAACGTGATGTCCGAAGTGCTGTTCATGTATGTATGTACATGCATATATACGCAACGGATAGCCAATTACTTAAAAATAAATTGAAGTTACATATTTTTATTCCAAGAAAAGGTATACAATTGTATTATATTTATAAATACTATTGTTTACTGTCTTGTACTTGGTTAGCCTTTTGAATATTTAATCTTGGAACTATGTAGTATAAATAGAAAAACATCAAAGAAAAACATGTTTCGAGGTAGCAGGCCGTCTTTTTATAAATAATACTTTATTTCGCACGCAATTTATGAATACGTTCAAAGAAAAATAAAAACTGACAATAAATAGAAAGCATGTTTTTAAATAATTGGTAATCTGATAGTAATTTGTAGAATTTATACATTATGTTACATTATTCTATATTTTCATAAGAGATGTGTTTTGCATTATAATCCACTTTGTTACAAATGAAAAGATTAATCCATAACAATAACAATTAGTACTGTTCCTTAGCAATAGATGTACATATCGTACATATTGTTGTAATTGTGATGGGATTAAAAAAAACATTAAATAATAAATTATATTTACTGGTTGATGATCCAGTGAATACATCCATTACGTCTATGTAGGTACCTCTTTATTATTTAATTCTACAATTAAGCAAGGTGTTCTATCAATAACTTAAATTCTAATTCTATACAATTATTTAAGGCGAAGGCGATTCAAATTTAATAGAACATTATGCCTGCACTAATGTTTCGGTAATACATTATTAACGCATGAAAAATGTAAATCATCTAAATGAAGTAACTTTTAAAAGATTGGCTGTGTTTTTAGTAATTGGAAAAAATAAAAGAATCTAATTTTAATATATATTACAACGACAGTGTCGATGACGATTTTGGTATGATGGATCGTTACAATTATTTCTCCGCGTATGGCGCACATAAAGCAGATGGGTCCCCGAGCCATTGACAAACAAAGATAAGGAAATTGAAAAGTGTGGTTTCTGAAATGGAAGAGATTGCTTCAGAGATAAGACTGGTTTTTGTGCTATATTACTGTGAAAATTATGCTATTTGTAATATACTTCGTATGTAATTAGTAGTTAATAAACAAGTAAAGACAGACAAATGCTGGAACAGTAATTTAATACTGACATATTACTAAAGTTAGATCATTACAGGGATTACACACTTGAACTAAACAATAAATTGCTAATGTATGTAACATTCATACTACCGATTTCACAAAGGAGAAGAGCAGAGAGTCAAATCCACTTATTCCAATTCTATACAAATATTGATAATTTTTTAATATTGAGAAGTATAACTTTCAAATTAGATAGATATATTATAATAATGTAGGCTTTTAGAGATTAAAAATACCTACATTATCGGAATTGTTTCACTTCTTTTTAAGTAGATTCTCTTTTGTCAAGGTACTCTTTTTGAGAAATTATTTCGGGTTGTAAGTAAAGCTTTTGTTGATAAATAAATACCAAAACAAACAAGGACAAACAAAGTAAGCAGAAATAATTCTATGAGTATTAGACAATTCATAAACGTACCCCGTTTTAGTTTGTACCTATATAACCAAGATAACAAACACATGAAAATTAAAATATTTGTATTGTGCATAGATTGAACTTGGGACCATTGAAAGATGCGGCCTTGTGATAAATTGTTTAACAATTAAAAGGTCATTAAAATACTTATTTTTTATAGCTAATTTACGAAGTTCTATCTATTTATGTTTGTTTGTATTTCCAATAGAATGCTTTCTAAGTAAACCCATTTAGATGTTGAATGAACAATGAGGTCTAGTTACTTCAGTCGCAAGTAACAGATCAATAAGAGCGACCACACACCTACCTTCCGTTTCATTCTTATTAAATATTGTTAAACAAACTAGAACTTTTAAACTCACATAATATTATTGATTATCGCTTTAAACAGACACTAATTTCATTAGCTCTTATATTATGACTTGATCTGTAAGTTTCACTTTACTTTTATGAATTTAAATCTGACAATATTCTGTGTGTTCACTTATAATATTTCGTTAATGACAAATTCTAATAAAATCGTATAATAAAAAAAAATGTAAATGAATACAGTTTCTAGACTAATCTTGGTGTTTCGAACCATATTCTGAACTGATACCTATATATAAGTACTTGAAAAAAGATATTTTGATTTAACAATTTTTTTTAAAGTCTAAAGTAAGAGTAGGGGATACCTAAACTGGCAACGTGCTATTACAATCAAGGATGTAAATAAAAATAAATAAATAGAACCGGAAACTGCGAGTATGTAACTGCCCTAACTTGAACTGCAAACGGATAGGTACCCATTTGTTTGTAACTTTGGATCCACTACTGATGAATATTTCAATGGTACTGGTTAATAAGGAACTAGTTGTTTGTTGTTGAGATGAAAGGATGACCAAACGGACATACAATGCCAAAGTTAGGCGTAGATTCATCTATTTTATATTAGATAATACAAAACTCTATATAAATATAATTCTATACCACCAAATGTAAATATATAATACTAGCTGTGCCCGAGGTTTCACCCGCGGGAAATTTATAGCCTATGTTATTGTAATGTATAAGCAATTTTACTGTAAAGTTTTATCAAAATCCGTTCAGTATATTTTGCGCGAAAGAACAACAAACAAACAATCAATTCATGCTCACAAACTTTCGCATTTATAATATTAATAAGATAGATAAGTTATCCTGGACAACTAACATCTCTATCTCGAACTGAAATGAAAGACAAACTGATGGCCAACCTGACGTTAAATGATAACTGTCATCTATATACATGGACGGTATCGCGTTATCATGTGACGCCAATAGTAACATCACTCAGTTGCCGTTTCGGAGCAGTAAAATATGTGTTATTTCACCTCTACACCCTTCAACCCTAACACATGTTACAAAGCATTTACAGAATTGGTATATGTCTATTTGAGATTATAAATATATGACAAGTTAAGAGGAAATGGTTGAATAATTTAAACATCATTTAGTTTTGTATTTCTATATTCAAAATCGTCAGACAGAATAGGTATATATTCCGCTAAATATTTATCGAATATCGGGAGACAAACAATGAATTTGGGTCAGCTTAATTTCAAAATCAAAATTATCAATATAGTTTTATATTATACAGTTATAAGTATTGAAAATGTATTAGTACTGGCTGAATTTAAATTCTATCTCTAAGATTCTTTGTATAATGCTTATAAAATATTTTGTGACATCGTTTCGAAGAAAAGTCTGATAAAAACAAGTCCCTGTAATATTTTAATTAAAAGCCAATTGCAAATTAAGTTATGTCTACGGCTCGGATTTTCTGGAGCCAAGGAATATTTAATGTCATTTAAAATACTGTCACTTTTTCTTAACTTCACGGGTTTGATCGATAACGGATTTTTATAACAAAGTGACTTTACTGACCTAGAACTTTAGAAGACTAAATATATCGTAGACATAACAGTACTACGGACTATATTAATAAATATGTAGGATTATAAGTAGACTAGAGATCTTTGTACAAAATCGTGTATGTAGGTACCTCAGTCGCACTATTTCAGTCGTCAAGCTTGTTTTTATTTTTTTATACTACGTAGGTGGCAAACAATCATACAGCCCATTTGATGGTAAACAATTACCGTAGCCTATGGACGCCTGTAATACCTGAGGTGTCATGTACGCGTTGCTGACTCTTAAAAGTAGTTTTGTTAGGCGATGATTTATTACTTTGAAATGGTAACGTAACAGACCATTCACTATTATCACAGTACCACGTGCCCCGTAGTACTGTTACTACCTTAATGTACAGTACATAGGCGATGTTTACCACTTATTATCAAGTGGTCCAAGTATAGATTTTAAACGTAATATGTATTTTATAGGTAATAGTTGTAACTTTGTTACATATATTAATATATATATACATATACATGTATGATTATGTTGAAATATATAAGTACTTCCATCTATAAAAATGTCCAGGTCATCTAGCAGGTTATTTAGTAGGATATATGTTTATCAGTTATACATTACCCATAAAATGAGATTTGCTTAGCCGGGGAGGGTTTGCTTACACTGGGACTTTTTATTAGATGCTTCATTGTGATATATCCAT